AATTATACTGAGGGAAAAAGACTGACAGAAAATAGTGCATAGTATATGATTCTATTTTTATAATATAATATTCTTGGGAATGCAAAATAATTTACAGTGACAGAAGGGAATCAATAGTTGCCTGGGCATCAGGGGAGGGAGTCTGTAGGGACAAGAGGAAGAGACTAGGACTAAAGAATCTTCTGGGGCTGAGGTATATGTTAATTATCTTGATCATGGTGATGATTTCATGACTATATGAATATGTCAGGGGTATCAAATTGTACTTTTTGATACATACAATTTAATTTTTATATCAATGATGCCTCAGTAGAGCTGTTAAAAATGTCATGAATAAAAATATTTTTTAGATACCCAAAAAAGATCTACAACATGATTAATATAATTAACACTGCAGTATGTTACATATGAATGTTGTTAAGAGAGTAAATCCTGAGTGTTCTTGTTGCAAGGAAAAGATTTTTTCCTTTTATTCTCTATCTGTATGAGATGATAGATGATCATTAAACTTATTGTGGTAATCATTTCATGATGTACATAAGTCAAGCTATTATGCTGTGTATCTTAAACTTATATAGTGTGGTATGGCAATTATAGTTCAATAAAACTGGATGAAAAAAAAGGAAAAAAACTGCCAAACTGTTTTCCAAGGAAACTGTATCATTTTTACATTCCTAGCAGCAATGAATAAGAGTTTCAGCTGTCTTGCATCCTTAGCAATATTTGCTAATGCCATTCTCTTTTAATTTTAGCCATTCTGATAGATGTGTGGTGGTGGTATCCTGTAGTTTTAATTTGTATTTCCCTAATGACTAATAATGTTGAGCATCCTTTCATGTGTTTATTTCCTATCTAAATGTCTTTTAGAAAGTGTCTGCTCCAATATTTATTTTTAATTGGGTTGATGGTTTTCTCAGTATTGAGTTTCGGGGTTCTTCTTGTATACTGAATGCAAGTCTTAGTTAGATATATGCTTTGCAAATATTTTCTCTGAATCTGTGGTTTGTCTTCTCATTCTATTAACGGTATGTTTTGAAAAACAGAGGTTTTAATTTTGATGAAATCCAATTTACCAATTTTTATTTTATCGATGGTACACTGGGTATGATATCTAAAAAATCTTTGCATAACCTAAGTTCACGAAATTTTTCTCCTAGAAATTTTATAATTTTAGGTGTTATATTTAGTTCTGTGATGCCTCCTCTGAGTTAAATTTTATAATGGTGCAAGGGATTGAAATCCTGATTTTATTTCTGTTTTTGTACATGGACATCCAATTGTTCCACTGCTATTTGTTGAAAAAACTATCTTTTATCTACCTTGCACTTTTCTCCATCTCACACCTTTGTAAAAGATCAGTTGTCCATATATGTGCTGGGTTTATTTCTGGACCATTTTTATTCTATTCTATTCATCTATTTGTCTATCTTAGGTCAATATCACACTATTTTGATTGCTATAATAAGTTTTGAAATTAGATAGTGTTAGCCCTCTAACTTTGTTCTTCTCTTTGAAAGTTGTTTGTATTTCTATATGAATTTCAGAATCAATTTGAAAATTTCTTTTTAAAAGAAAGCCTGCTGGGGCTTTATAGGAATATATTGATTCTGCAGATATATTTGGGAAGAACAGACATCCTTACAAAATTTAGTCCTTCCACCCATTAAAAAGGTATATCTCTCCATTTATTTTGGTCTTTTCTAATTTCTTTCAGTAATGTTTTCTGTTTTCAGTTTAAGATTTCACTTCTTTTGTTAGATCTGTTCCTAAATGTTTCATAGTTTTTGATCTATTATAAATGATATTTTAAAAAATTTAGCTTTCTATAGTTCATTGCTAGTATATAGAAATACAATTTATTTTTATATATTGATCTTGTATCTTGCAACTTGGCTAAACTCACTTATGAGTTCTAGTAGCATTTTTTGTAAATTCTATTGAATTTTCAACATAGGCAATCGGGTCTTCTGCAAATAAAGACAGTTTTACTTAATCCTATGCAATCTGGATGTATTTCATTTCTCTTTCATGCTGGATAGCACAAGCTAGAACCACTAGTAATAATGTTGAATAGAAGTGGCCAGAGAATGTTGGATTTTGTCAACTTCCTTGTTTCAAAATTTAGTAGAAAGCTATAGTAATCAAGATTGTGTAGTACTCTCACAAAAATTAACCAGAAATGAACCAGTCACTTGTGGTCAATTGATTTCTGACAAGGGAAATAGTCTTCTCAGCCAATAGCACTGAGTCAGTTGGGTATATACATGAAAAAGAGTGAAGTTGGATCTCTATTTCACATAATATACAGAAATTAACTAAAAATGGTCCAAAGTGGAAAAACTAAATCTAGAAAACTCTTAGAAAAAAACATAGGCATAAATATTCCTGACTTTGGTTCCTTATGTGTAACACTGAAAGGACAAGCAACCCAAAACAAAAGGGAACCTCATTAAAATTAAACACTTTTGTGTGCTTCAGAGGACACCATCAGGAAACTATTTGCATAATGGTCTAGCACCTAGAATATATAAAGAACTTTTACAACTCAACAATAAAAAGGCAACCCAATGTAAAAAAAGGGCAAAGGATTTGAGTAAACATTTCTCAGAAGAAGATATGAAAATGGCCGATAAGCACATGAAAAGATGCTAAATATAATTAGCCATTAAGGGAATGCCAATCAAAACCACAATGAGATACCACTTCACACTCACTATGATGGCTATAACCAAGAAGACAGGAAATAACAAGTGTTGGCAAGGGTGTGGAGAAATGGGAACCCTCATACATAGCTGGTGAGAATATAAAATGGTGCAGCTGCTTTGGAAAACAGTTTGACAGGTTTTTAAAAAGTTGACCATAGAGTTGCCATATGACTCTGCAATTTCACTCTTAGTTATATATTCAAGAGAATAGAAAATATGTGTCCTCATAAAAACTAGTATATGAACATTCATGCCATCATTATTCATAATCGTCAAAAGAAGAAAACAACCCAAACGCCCATCAGCTTATGAATGGATAAACAAAATGTGTTCTATCTATATAATAGATATTTAGCTATAAAAAATGAAGAACTGCTTCATGTTACAACATAGATGAACCTTGAAAACGTTATGCTGAGTGAAGGAAGCCTGTCACAAAAAGGTCACATATTGTATAATTCCATTTACATGAAATGTCCAAAAATAGGCAAATCCTCGGAGACAAAAGTACATTAGTGGTTCCCAGGGGGTTGGGGGATTGGAGGTGACTGGTTATGGATATGAGGTTTATTTTTCATATGGTGGAAAACGTCCTGGAATTATAGGGTGGTGATGGTTGTACAACTTTGTGAATATATTCCTAACCACTGAATTGTACACGTTGAAGGGTTATGTTATGTAAATTATATCTCAATTTTTTAAAAAATTATTTTTATATAGCAAATAGCCATGGAAAACAGAGATCGTGTTTTCCTCCTGCAACGACTGCCCATTATCAGTGATAAATTCAGGATTCCTCTCCTGTGATGTACCTACCCCATTGCATGGGCAGGTATCTTCTTAGCCCTCTTTGCATCCCCTTGTGGGAAATGGGGCTCAGGGAACTGGTACAAATGCAGATCCTCCAGCAGATGCTCTTGGTGGTAGTTAATAAACTGTCTTTGTCTCTGACCCTGGAGTCTTTTGCTGGCATCTCTGAAACTGTGACTGATTAACTTGTTAACTTGTCCATAGGGTAAAATCTCAGACTCTTCAAAGTTCTTGACAAGGACCATAAAATTAATTTAGTTCAACTTTCTCATTTTACATATTTCAAAGCTAAATCACATAGCTCTGTACTTTATTTCAAGAAAGACAAGCAAGAAGAAATCAATAGGAAGAAAAAAAGTGGTTTCTTTATGGAATGGGTTTATCAGCCCTTGACAACTTGGTCCTTAATTTGTTAGCATTTGTCATGACATATTTCTTTTTATTTGTTAGACTCATATTAAAGTACTATTTTAAATACATGACTCCAAAGAGGATTCTCTGACCTTTTCTCGGTGGTATTTGCTGACCTAAAACCTTCTTCTTCTACTTTTAATAGCATCTTTGAAGGACTAAAGAGAGAAGAGATCTATAATGAAGATTCACGGGTGCATGTAGAGATTTGTGATCAATTTATCCTTGGTTATCAGGAAAATGGTGGTACTATGAAAAATAATTAGAATGCATTGAATGTTTCTTGAAATGTGTCATAACTTCAGGATAACTTTTATAAGTATCTGCTAAGTGATACAGTATTTGATAATGAGTTGGGTTATTTCACTATTTCTGTATCCTGGTTTTTATATTTCACTAGGGATTGTTCTAGTTCTTGGCAAACAATTCATGTATAGTTTGGTTTTTGAAAAACTGCCCTTGGATTTCAGAGTTTTTAGGTATAGCCTTGTGTTCATTGATGGCTTAGCTTATAATATCTTATCAAGACTGACTTTGAGTTTGTATAACACACTCAGCAAGGTCATGACCATCATATTAAGACAAAAAATTAACATGTTTTTGCTGAATTTTTTTCTGCAAACATAAATAACGTTTTATAAAGTTTTTTTAATATCTACATGGAATGAATTTTAAGACTCTAGGCAAAAAACTAAATAGATGAATAAATTGTTTTTAAAATAATAAGCTCTAATACTTTATGCTGTAGTACTAATTAGGCACTATTCTGGAGCTTAATATATTCCTTTATCTTAGTTGGGTCACCATGGGTCTAGTTGAATTTGCTTCCTCAAAACTGCATTTCCTCTGTAATAATATTTAGCACATCTCATTGTATTTGCTTGTTTATATTGCTTCCCCTCCTCCAGACTGCAGACTCCTCAAGGACAAGAAATGTATTTGTCTTTCCAGCTCTAAGACCCATGCTCACGCCTGGAACAGAGTAGGTGTCCAGAAATGAATATTGATTCCGCAGACAGATCAGAGCTTTAGAAAGGTAATGTACAGTCAAGTAGATTTTGCCAAAAATTCATTTTTTTAATGGAACGTTTCATAAATTTGCATGTTATCCTTGCACGGGGGCCTTGCTAATCTTCTCCATATCCTTCCAATTTTAATATATATGCTGCTGAAGCAAGCACAAAAATCCAATCTTAAAATTTAAATTAGATGATATATATTTAGAGGGACCTTTCTTTGTATTCATATACATAGAAACCTGAAATAATAACTGTTAATGGGCTGAATTGTATCCTCCCCAAATTCATATATTGAAGTCTTAACCCCTGGTATCTCAGACTATAACTGTATTTGAAGATAAGGTCTTTAAGGAGGTAGGTAAGATGAAATGAGGTCATTAGGATGGGCCCTAATCCAATATGACCCATGTTTTTATAAGAAGAGATTAGGACAGAGAAATACAGAGGGAAGACCATGTGAAGACACAGGGAGAAAAAGGCTCTCTTCCAGCCGAGGAGAGAGGCCAGAGAGGAAGCCAACCCTACCAACACTTTGATCTCAGATTTCTCGCCTCCAGAATTGTGAGAAAATGCATTTCCATTTAAAACACCCGTCTGTGGCACTTTGTTATGGCAGCCCTAGCAACTAACATAAAAGCTAGCAAACTGATACAATCAAAGGTTGTTTTGGTAAGTATGGAATTAAAAAAAAATAAAGACATCTCATAGGCCTGTGGGAATATTTATATCCATTACATTAGAGCTTCTCTTCTACAGAAAATATAACTTTATGTAACTCAATATTTATTCTAGAATCTTTCTTTATGCAAACTTACACACACACTGACAATTCCTTATTCTCTGGCTCTCTGCTGTCTAGGTTTCATGGTTCTTTTTTTTTTTTTTTTTTTTAACAACATAATCCCTCAGTCCCTGAGTGGACTCACAGTAGAAGTAGCAATTTATTTCCCCATCACATGTCTTTTATTTTGTAAAGCATCTTCTAACTTCTGTATAACCAGGGGCTGTCATCTGCTTCTCCTGTGCGAACTAACTTACTAGCACAATCAGTGAGCCAGGAAATGTATCTTAGAAAACTATGAATGATGAAAGGAATTGGTAGATTCACAAAGAGAAAAGTTAGTTCTCTCATGAAATCTTATTATTCCTTGGGTTGAATTTTGGAATCAGAATTGACTTAATTTTATCACAGGAAAGGCCCTTGTCTAGTCTTTTCAAAGGAGGTAGTTGTTTTATGATGTGATTTTTTTTTTGAGAAAAATTACAAGAAATGAATAGAAATAGTCACAACTTTCCTCAAAACAAGATAATGTGTTACAATCTTTCAAAGTTAGTGTATTTCCAGCAAGATATACCCAACTCTGGAGACCCATGTAGATAGCTGCTTTGACAAAATAACAAAACCCATTAGCTGATTTCTCAGAAGAATAATATTTCTAGCCATAGCAGAATATTCACAGGCCATCAAATTTAGTTTGAGAGTACATCCCTGGGATTCCATAAGGACACAAATTAATTCTCAAGAGTAATCTATTTCACAATGAACTTCAAATTATGTACTTCCAAACATATAGTTATGTTTTTTATGAAGACATAGATAGAAATATTTTCTGACTAAACAGTAGACAATGGCTCAACTTGAGATTTCCTCTTTTTAGGATAAAAATTATGGGAAACATGGACATTTTTATCGCTGGAATTATCGACCAAATGGAAGACTAAACATTCAGTGACTTCAGGTAAGATCAATTCACTTGGAAGAGCTGAGTATAAAGTGCCAGATAACCAGCTGAAATGTGAAAACAAAATCGGGGGAATTCATGAGTGTGTTGTTTTTGTTGGCTGTTGTTATTGTGTTAATGACCACATTCAATCAATCAAATCAATTGTTGATTTCTTTTTCATCAGGATGCCAGTAGGTGCTCCTTGGTTGACTGAGGACCAGGTCAGAGGAAAACTGCTCTGCTCTTAGTTTTATCTAGTTCATTTTTCCTTTCTAATGGGGGAAAACAGATGGAGTCAATTATTTTTTTTGCAAAATCTCCCTAGTCCCCATTTTCCCACTAGGCTTTCCTGCTAAAACTGACAAGAAGAGAGTAGTGACTTGAAGAGCACAATTATTTGACTTCATCAACCCCAAAGCCTTTTATCTCCATGCCATGTTAGCTGAATCTTCCCATGGTCATACCCTAGTTTGTACAAAATTTAGCACACAAACCATCTACTTCAGAATCACTTGTGGAGAACTTGTTTATAATGCAGATTCCTCATGCCCCCCGACCCCAGTGATTCTGATTCAGTATGTCTAAAGTGGAATTCAATAATATTCAATTCTGTAAAGCCCCTACGTGATTCTTATGCAAGTGAAATGTTGACCACGCTTTTAGGGACACAGCTCTAGACAGGAGTGTATCAGAGTAGGGGAGAGTTGAGAGAGTTCTCATTTGAAATCTTCTGTTTTCCTTCTGAAATAAGTGAGTTTGTCTTTTTTCCCGACCCTAATCCCATTGGCACACTTCTATATATCTTTCATATCCAGACCAAAGAAAAGCCTTTTATGGTAACTTCTCCCCACCCAGTCGATCAATCTTATTTTGAGTCAGTAGGGTATCGCATGCATGTCCTTATCATGGTACCTATCACACACTGTAACAATTATGGCTCTCTCCTTCAATCTTGGTGTTCCTCAGTATTTTGTTGTTTATCTTCCTCTTTCCTTACATTTTACACATTCCCTGGGCAATATTATCCATGCTTATGGCTTCAACTATCATCCATAAAACTGATGACTTTGAAAATAGTAGCTCTAGCCCATGTAACTCTCCTAACCTCCAGATCCATACTTCCATTGGTCTACTGGGCATCTCTACTTGACTGTTTATAGTTATCCCAGTCTCAGTGTCAAACACTGAACTTATTTTCTTCCTGTGTTCCCGACCTCTCCTTCAAACCTGCTCCTCCCTTCTATTCTTCTGAATGGCACCACCATTCAGTTGTGTACTCACGTATTCAGTTGTTGAAGGCAGAAATTAAGCAGTCATTCTATATTCCTTCCCTCACCCACCGTCATTCAGTACTGTCAAATCTTCTAAGATAGTTCTCAAATCTCTATTCTCCACTCCCCTGCTACTACCACATTGGATAAAAGCCAGTTTATTATAATATATGGTACAGCCAAGAGTAAATAAAGATATTACTTGGTAAAAAGCAAATAAGTATATACATTGATTCTTCAAAAGTCTTCCGTGTGTATTCCATTTCTAAAGATGTTGAAAAGATAATTAGAAAGAGGGAAGTATAGAGTAGTATGTTTAGCCAAATGCTCATCTTTCACAGCACAGAGTACATAAATAAATGTCTAAGATCAATACACTAAGAAATGGAAGAGCAATATGCTAAAAATACCACAGGGATACAATTAGCCAAATCCAGAATGTGGGAAATTCCTTGGTGAAAGTGACCTGGATTATTAAGGAAAAATAAATGGCATGTGAAAATGGGATAAGGAAATTATTATAGATTATTAGAGATTGAAGAAACAGGTCAACACAATGCAATATGTAGATGTCATTTGGATACTAATTCAAATAAACAAGATATTTTGGGGACAATTGGGAAAATTTGAACACAGATTGGGTATTGAATGGTATTAAGTAATTATAATAAAAGTATTGGGGTTACATTCTTAGAATTTGCCTCAGCTTTTAGAGATACATACTAAAGTATTTATGGATAAAAAGATGTGATTTGAAATATTGTTTTAAAATACTCTGGGTCAAGCCATATACAAAAATTAACTCAAAATGGATCATGAACCTAAATGTGAAAACCTAAAACTATAAAAATGCTAGAAGGAAGAAAACATAGGAAAAATATTTTAAATCTTGGGTTTGGCAAAGATTTCTTAGCTATGATACCCAAAACACAATACATAAAACAACAAACTGATAAATTGGACTTCATCAACATCAAAATTTTTTCCTATTCAGATGATACTGCCAGGAGAATAAAGGGACAAACCAAAAACTGAGAGAAAATCGTTGCAAAGCATATATTTGATGAACGATTGTATACAGAGTATATAAAGAACTCCTAAAATTCAATAAGTAGGCAACCTGCTAATAAAATGGGTGTGAGAAAAGAGCACAACAGATCTTGTTGTTCACTCCTCATACATCTCAAAGATAACTTGGAACCATTACAGATCACTGGACAACCTCTGGGAATGTGGTATTTGGATGGTTCTTTATGTTAAGGATTGAGGATTTTATTATGTGTACCTGGAGCAATGGACAATATTATACTATCTTGTCATGATTGCTCTGCACAAAAATTGAGTTGATCGTGTGCACCTGACTTCATTGTTGGGGTCCTGAGTTCTGGTTGCCATAGCTGGTTGCATCATATGGCTGGACACATGCCATAACAGGCTGTGTCCATGTGCCCAGTTCTCCTTAAAAGCCTTGGACTCGAAGACTTCAGTGGGCTTCCCTGCACAGAGTCTTCATATATGACCCTGTAGCTCACAGCCGGAGAAAAAGTATGTCCTGTGTGATTCCAGATGGGAAAGATGGAAGCCTGTGCCCAACCACTCTAGACTCCACCCAGTAGATATCTTGTTCCAGTTGTTTGTGCTTTCTTTACTTGTTCTGAACAACTGTTAGCCAAGAGCAAAACCTGTTGCTGAGTATTGTGAGCCCTTCTAGTAAATTAGCAAACATGAGGGTGGTCTTGAGACCCTTGAGTTGATAGGAAAATAATTTGAACCGAAACTTCACCAAAGAAAATATGAATGGTTAATCAGGATATTAAGAGCTGCTTAATAACACTAGTCATCTGGTGAATGCAAAATAAACCACAGTGAGATATTGTTTTGTACCTCTTGGAATGACCAAAACTAAAAAGACTGATCAGTACAAGCACAAGGAGGTAGAGGAACTGAAACTCCCATACACTGTATAAATACGAAATGGTACAAGCATCTTGGGAAAACAGTTTGACAGTTTCTTAAAGTTATATACGTGCCTACCATACATGTCAACCATCCCACTCCTACATATTTACCCAAGGGAAAGAAAGCATGTTTTCATACAAAGACTTACACATGAATGTTCATAACAGCTTTATTCGTCATAGGTCAAAACCGGGAACAATCCAAACGT